TCTTGGCAGAGTTAGTATGAGCGTGCTCCTCCCTGCTTGTTGATGTAATACATTGTGGTGACATTGTCCATGAGAATTTGGACTGTTCTGTTTTGGATCAGGGGAAGAAAGTGTAGGCATGCATTTCTTACAGGCCTTAGTTCTAGCAAGTTGATGTGCTACCTGGTATCGTTGTGAGTCCATTGACCCTATATCACCCTGTGGTCCAGGCGTGCCTCCCAACCCAACAGTAAGGCATCTGTCATGATCGTTGTTGATGGTGAGTTGCATTGGAAAGGGACATCTATGCATATGTTGTCATGTAGGGTCCACCATGTAAGAGAGGATTTTATCTTGTTCGGCAAGGTAAGTTGTTTGTTTAGAGGATGAATGTGTGGCCAGTAGCTTGTGGGTAGCCATGATTGTAATGGCCTCATATAAGCAAGTATGGGGGACCAAGAATGTGGCTCCCGCCATGTGCCCCAATATTTGTAGGCATAGGTGTGCCGTTATGACTGGGCTGGTCTACGCTGTTGCTATGAGGTCCTTAATTGTGGCCTATCTGTGGCTCGGTAATTGAACGGTAGTACTCTGTACTGAAAGTGCCTGTCCTTTATTGTAAAACGGAGAAATCTTCTGTGTGACGGGTGTATTGATATATGAAAGTAAGCCTCCTGAAGGTCAAGGGTAAACAACCATGCTCCTTTTTCCAAGGCAGGTAATCATGGCAAGCGTCACCATCTTGAAGCATTGGTACCTGACAAAACCGTTGAGCTTGCAGAGGTCTGAAACGGGTCTCCAATCGCCCAACTTCTTGGTGATGAGGAAATAACGGGAGTAAAAACCCCTGCCTCTGAGATGCTAGGGTACCTCTTCTATGGATCCCAGACTAGATGTTCCGCCTCTTGTACGAGCACATGCTCGTGAGATGGGTCCCTGAAGAGGAACAGGCAAGGGCAGTAGGTGGGGGGGGGGCACTAAAAATGGGATGCAGTAACCGGTTCTCTCAATTTCCAGCACCCACTTGTCGGTGGCAATGGCATGCCAAACTGGATAAAATGCAGCTAGTCTGTTGCCAAATATTGTGGATGGTTCGGATTGCTGCCTCAGAAATTTCAGGGTTGTCAGACCCTTGACCAGGACTTCAAAATGTTATCTGGATGTTGAGGGCTGTTGAGCTGATGACTGGTCGGAGGCCTGTCTACGCTTATTTTGGTGTGGTCTGTTGTCACAGTGTCATTGCTGTTGGCTGAATAGTTTTGGTCTGTACATTTGGGTGAATGATATGTCTTGTTTTCTTTTTGTGACAGGTATGTGAATGCCTAGAGTCTTCAGTGTGGCCCTTGAATCCTTTAAGGTATGCAGAGAAGTGTTTGTGGACTCCGGAAAGAGCTTTGTGCCCTCAAACAGTAGGTCCTCAACCACCAAATGGAAGCTCATCTCATTACCACTGCCAAGGCCAAGGATTTGGCTGCTATCTGCTCAGTCCAACGCGGCCTGTAGGGCCATTCGAGATATTTGTGTGCCCTCAATGTTTGATTTTAACTGTTCTTTTTTTGTAGTCTGGGAGGGACTCAATAGAAGATGTTAGTCAAAAATGTGGTGTGTATATTTCACTAGTGATGTGATGTAGTTTGCTATTCTGAGCTAGAGGCTTGCTGACAAATATACCTTTCTCCCCATTGTGTCCAACCTCTTCCAATCCCTGTCAGAGGGAATGGTACGTGTAGCTTATTGCTTCCCTCTTTGACTCATGGCTTCCACTACAAGGGAGTTTGGTGTCATGTGAGAGAACAGGAATTCTGCTCACTTTGTGGACAACATAATATTTTCTATCTGCTCGTTTGCCTGTTGGTGAGATTGTGACAGGCATTTGCCAGATATTCCTGGTGAGATCCATAAAAACCTCATTCATGGAGATAGCCAATTTCGCATGGAGAGATGTATGTAATATGTTTATCAGCTTATGTTGTGTCTGAGGCATATCTGACAGGGAAATCTCTAAGGTGTCTGAAACGCTCTTGAAAAATTCCTGGAACAATTTAAAATCATCCCCTGAGGTTGGTGGTAGGGACATGATCTCTTGTCAGGAGGTGAATATGAGGTGTGGGTGGATATCTGTTCCTCCTCTGTAATATCCACATCCTGCTCCTCTGCGTCTGAACTATAACACTCCAAAGACTGCACTGTTGGTGCATGGGACTGAGGTGCCGGAGGTGGCTGTTGTGGCTGTTGCACCTGCTGTAGTCTATAAGCTGCCCATGGGTCCCAGTATGGCCAGTTAGGCAGAATAGGTAGTGAAACCACTGTAGAGGCTGCCATTGTTGCATTTATTGTAGATGCTTAGGTGAGGAGTGTCCCGGTAAATATGCTTGATTAGACATCTCCTCCTTGTCATCGCTGAACATTGGGGCATCTGAAGTGACTGAAATGAATGAGAAGCTCTATCTTGCGGTGTTCAGGGTATCATCCGTGCCAAATAGAGAAGTCCCTGGTTCTGAGTTTACAGAGAGCTCCGCTGCTGTTGTCAAGCGTGGTATAAGCAGGGAGGAGGTAGTAATAGAGGCTGAGAGACATGTGAAGTATGCAGCGGTGTAATTTTGAGTGTCAACTGCTTTTTGTGTGAGGTCAGTACTGAGTGTTTTGGTGGTGCTAACGCTGACGCCTCAGGCAGAGCGCTCGTGTTCGGTGCTGCTTGGGGGCGCTGTTTATTATGCACCGTGGCTCATGCTGAGGGTGTTTTAGCCAGTGCCAACAAGGAGGCTTTGTGTTTTGCCTCTGTTGGTGCCTTAGCTGAAGCACACTATTTGTGCTTGGGGTCACGGCTCCTTACATTGCTGGCCCCACTTATAGGCTACTTGTCCGACCCTTTTTGTGCTGGTGGTGGGCGTGCAGCATTTTTGTGGAGAGGAGACTTCCTTAGGGAAGAGTCAGTCTCTGAGGAAGAATAGGACCTTTTCTTTGGGTAAGTATTATCCTGGTCCTTTGGACTCAACCCGATGGCAGCCTCTCTCTTTGACCCCATCCCAGGTGATTTCTGTCTGGGAGAGGTAGATTGCTCAGGGTCAGAAGCCAACCGGGTCTTTTTCTCCAGCTGGAACATTTTTAGTTGCAAGTCTCTTGATTTCCTTGTACATGCTGTCAGTTTCTGACAATGAAGGTGGTGTTCTGTGCAGTGCTCTTCCCCCAGACAGTGGACGCATTGTTCATATCTGTCTGAGATAGAAATGGACAGCCTGCAGCCTGTACACTTTTTGAAGCTGTGTGAACCAGGCATGTCCCAGATACCCGTCTAGTTTGCGCGGAGCTGCTATGTCCGCTTAACTGCTTATTAAAAAAAAAATTAGTGACAGTTTAAAAAAAAAATCTTTAAGTCTAAGGGAAAGTTTAATGAATTACAGCTAGGAAAGGATTTCTGAGGTACTAACTATTTAAAAAACCTGACTAACTATATAATTTGTCAATGAGGTAACAGGTGACTGCTGAACTGTGACCAAAGCTGGTGGCTACTGAGAGGAACTAAGGAGGCAGCCAGCTGCACATATGGCGTATCCTCTTCAGATCACACACACCAGCACTCCACATCCACAACTGGCCACAGGCACTGCTGTCACAAATCTCCAATCAGAAGCGCAGTGGTGCGGGCACACCTAAAGGTGAAGCATCTGTGGGGATACTCCTCATGGAAGAACAAAAAAGTCCTGAAGAGGAACTGTATCTCTTTGCAGCTTCAAATCCAAGGGATTGAGATGCAAGATTTCTAGGGATGCAAGAAATCTTAGGGATGCAAGATTTCTAGGCATAAGTAAGGAATCCCCTGCTGCGTAGCTTGGATTAGCCTTAAGGGACATATAGAGCTTGCTTATTATAGAAGCTTCTATTACTCTTTGAAATTTAAGATAAGAACTCATTGGGTATACCTGGTTTAGACTTGTAAATAACACTTATTTCCTTTTCAACATTAGTAAATCTTTAGATAGTTTATTATAGGATTGGCTACAAGGGTTGTCTTTGGTGGGAAAGCTAAAGTGCAATTGACCTGAATAACTGACTTGTCCTTTGGGAGTAACCTAAATATTATTGTGATTTTGATGTAAGAAACCATCTATAACAAAGGCAAGCTTATCTGTGTGGCAAGATAAATCAGAGCACCCAAGGGGACTGTTTGGGATTCCATGTTAAGGTTGTTGTTATGCCTGGGAGTTTATACTTAATAAATGGTTGGTGAAATTTAAGTATACAACTCTTAGTCAGTTTTGGGTTTGTGCCCTGTTTCTTATCAGTCTGACCACAGGTTCATACCAGGGATGTTAAATATTAGTTAATTGAATAATCAAGTAACTTCATGAATTCTTATCTGTTAGTCGAGTATTCTATAGTCCCAGAGGGTGGGGCTGGCAGCCGCTGTATCAGAGGCAGCAGCGCGGGGTGTCAGGCAAGAGCTGGTGCTCAAGGGGAGCCAGTTTAAAACCAGATTCCTTTGTGGACCAACTGCCTGTTGCCCAGTGCTACTGCCTCTGATAAAGAAGCAGCAGTGTGGGTGGCAGCAGTCCCTGTCTAAGGTGGGTCTGAGCTCTTGGATCCAGAACAAGCTGGAACTGATCCAGGCTGCCTGCCTGCCTGCCTGGCTCCTAATACACTTTAAATGCAAAGCTGCAGCAGGGGTAGGTTCTGGACCTGATGCAAGCCCAAACTGAGCTGGGCTGTTGACCAGCCTGCTAAAAAATTTACTGGCGGGGGGGAGGGGAGGGAGAGAGGACAGAAATGCGTATAGTCTATTGCATTAACCTATACGATTTTGCTTTTCGGTTAATCTACCATACTATTACATCCCAAGCTGATACTCATGCTCTTGAGTGGCTGCAGCACAACTTGACAGTGTGACTGAATCAAAACTCCAGATATAATATACCTCGACTATGCAAATGAATTTTTTTTCTGCAGCTTAGAGCTATTTAGTTTTTAATGTACATTTCAAATCTGAAATTAAAGCTGTTTATTTCAAAGTGTGTGCTACTTACCAAGCTTTCCAAGAGTACTAAACTCTTCTGTGAAGAATACATAAAAATAATGAAATTACAATTTTGACACACAAAAAGGAAAAGAAACACTGACCTTAAAAAGATCAGCTATTGTATTCTGTATTTAACAGAAGCTGAGGGCTAGAAAAGCAGGCTCTAAAACTTGGACAAACTATAAAAAAAAAAATCTATTTTTTTTATAGCTTAGTAAATATATCCCTTCACAAGCTTCCTCCACAACACACACACAAAACAAAAAACTACAAGTTGATTTACAAGAAAATAGGAGATATCATTAGAAATGGTACTCGGATTTTATTATAATTTGTATAGCAAAGAATAGACACAACAGAAACACTAATGGGAAAATATATAGTATATACTTCACCCAATTAATCCATGAAGCAGCTTTAATGACAAGTGAGAAAAAACACACATTTGAAGATATTGTTTTTTATGAACGATATTAGTTTTATGAAAATGTCAACATCCTAAACAAGAATTTATTTATTTAACAAAGATAAATTAAGATATTTCTGGGATGATTTTCAGAAATGTCATATATTCACAGGATACATGGATTTTTCATTTCTGGAATTTCAATGGGAGCTAAGGGAAAATATATTTCAAATGTTATGGAGAGAGAAAAGCCTTCACGACATTTTGGTGAAACTCACACCAGGCCTATCGAACTATTTTTTTTAAAAACAGTGACAGTTAAACAATAATAGAATACAAATTTAAATTTAGCATGAAAGTATGCCCTCTGGAATGGTGACTGAAACATGAAGGGGCATATATGTGTAACACAGCTAACACATATACCTTGCAACATTGACTACAAAAGTACATTGCAAATGTCAGTTTTCATTTTCAAGTGACATTGTAAATAAGCAGCAGATATCTCCCATAAATGTAAACAAATGTGACTGTTTTAGCAATTGGCTGAATTGCTCCAAATTTATATGTTGATTAGATTTTGGGTGTACATATATAAAAAAATTATTTCTACATTTGTAAGTTGCACTTTTATGATAAAGAAATTGCCCTACAGTACTTGTAGGAGGAGAAATATTTCATTTATCTTTTCAATAAAGTAAAAATATTTGTAATAAAAAATAATATCAGGTGAACACTATACATTTTGTATTCTCTGTTGTAAATGAAATCAATATATTTGAAAGTATAGGCAAAAAATCTGAAAATATTTACTATTCATTTAACATGGCATTCTTTTATTGTTTAACAGTGTGATTAAAACTTTGATTCTTTGTGACTTTTTTAATCTAGTTATTTTGTTGTTAATCTAGTTAATCACTGGCATTAACTGCAATTATTCAACAACCTTAGTTACTATGT